TACCAAGACTGGAAGAGGTTGGTCTGAGCACTCAAAGATACAAAGCTAAATGAGAAGGAAATTTCTACATTTCCCTTAACTATACTATATTTAGTTTTATTAGAGGTCATTATGTCAGATTCTACACATCCATGTTGACCACCAGCACATATGCCTGTGTCCCTTGTTACATCCATGTTGGCCACAAGCACCTATGATGACATGGGGATGTTTGTTTTTTCTTTCAAAATGACATCCAGAAAGCCACGTGGATCTATTGTTGTCGTTGTTATAATTATTAAATGAAGCTACATACCAGGTATACAATAACCCAAAATTAGGTAGTGTAGTGGTTAAGCTATAAAATGCCTATATAATATATATATATACATGTATATATATATATTATATAGGCATTTTATAGCTTAACCACTACACTACCTAATTTTGGGTTATTGTATACCTGGTATGTAGCTTCATTTAATAATTATCACAACGACAACAATAGATCCACGTGGCTTTCTGGATGTCATTTTGAAAGAAAAAACAAACCAACAATGGGAGATCAGGCCAACATGGATGTAAAAAGGGACACATGCATATGTGCTGGTGGTCAACATGGATGTGTAGAATCTGACATAATGACCTCTAACAAAACTAAATGTAGTATAGTTAAGGGAAATGTAGAAATTTCCTTCTCATTTAGCTTTGTATCTTTGAGTGCTCAGATCAACCTCTTCCAGTCTTGGTAGTTTTTCTTTTTTGGTGTGTGTGTGTGTGTGTGTGTTTTGTTTTTGGTAGTTTATGGTTGCTCACTTGATCCTTTTTCCTTTTTCTTTGTTTTGTGTGTGTGGAAAGATCATGTGATGTATAATGTGTTGTCTACATTCAAAATATAGTGATATTTTTATTGGTCATGTTTTGTTAGTCATTGTCCCACACTGATCAATTTGTTTTTTTGCCTAGAGTTATACACTGAACATCACAACATTGCAAGGTTTTGAAACTTTTATGTCAAGTCTTAAAAACAAAACATTTTGCCCAAGCAAACAAGGAATTGGAGTGGATCTTGTATTAAGCTGTGTGGATAACTATGAAGCAAGGATGGTTGTAAATCAGGTAATGCTATAACGGGCAGGATTTTTGCCGTCTTTATTAATTTTTTTTGATAGCTGTGATTTAGCCATTTGGTTAATAGTTTATTATATTAATGAGGGAGTAATCTTGCTATGTTGTTTGAAATTTAAGAATAAGATATTTAGCTAATTTAGTTGTTATTTAACAGGCCTGCAACGAATTGAATCAGACATGGATGGAGTCTGGTAAGAAACATTTTTTTTTAAAAATCCGTGAGGGAACTTGTTTGATCTTGTTGTGCAAAAATCAGTTGAATATGCTGGCATGTAGTGAAAAGTTTAGAATTGTATTTGTTACTCAGATGGATTGGGACTATATCTTTTTGTTCCTTGGAATATCATCCAGTGTAGTTGTATTCTGACAGGTGTCTTGCAGTCTATGTTAGGTTAGACAAATTGGTACAGTGAATTAATGCTTGAAAATTTGTTTTCTATATTTCATTGGCTATCAGCTCAAGTGAGATACTATATTGTGGTTTGACAAAGATAGTGGTGTAGCATGTTGATGCGGAATTACATAACAGGAGAAAATTGGTATTTAACCTGAGAATTTTATTGATGTATTGAAATGAACTGTGAACCCAATTCAACCAAAACCTTGTACAGTGAACCCAATTCAGTTAAAATCTATTTTTACAAAATATCAGCCCAACAATCTGATTTAATTGTTATATATATCTTACCTTGTTCTATGTGATCTATATGTTTTCATTTATTAGGGAATAATTTAGTCGAATTGAAAGGTGCTACAAGTATAGGACAAAGGCAAAATAGAACTTTGGTTGAGTCCAAGCTTATTCCTTAGAAAACAAAAGGATCACAATTCTTTTTTTACTTTCAATTGATCAAAATAGGGGGAAGGAAATAAAGAAATAAAGGTTTCTTCAACGGCTTATGATAAGATGCTTATGAAAAGTTTAGAACACACCAAAGACACTATTTATTGTTTCAATTGCATCATAGCATGATTAAAGCACTGGTCTTAAACCCTAAAGCATTGGGCTCATGACTCGTAGGTTTTGACGACAGGTAAATGGCACTCTTTTTTCTCGTAATTGCATGCCAGATTATTTATTTTTTTGGGCTGTACCTGAATGCATTAGCACCTGCAGTATGTGGGAATTTCCAACACAAATGGTGGACAAGTTTTTCAGGCCTTATTTTTTTCATTGTAGCTTATGATGTACTTCTTTGCGATAATCACATGCAAGAATTTTTGTGCTTCGCCTGTGAAACATTGACGACATATTGATACAAGGGGTACAATGGACAGGTGTGTCTGAGGATGCTGTTTCAGGTCACATACAATTGCTAATTCCTGGAGAAACAGCATGTTTTGCATGTGCACCACCTTTGGTAGGTTCAATCATTTTTCTGATTTTGGATAATTTTGGAGTTATAACCCTACATTGGGAACCTTAATGTAGTTGTGCAGTTTTGAACTTACATATGGTTAAACTAAGCCAGTGTGATTATGTTTAATTGGTACAAAAATGGTACATATGCAGTAGAAAATTGTTTCTGGGTCACTAGGCTAAATTATTGCACTTCTTTTGTAACAATTTACACATTGATGAATTGTTAAATCAAAAGTGAACTTTGGATTTATCTTTTTCTCTAGGTTGTAGCATCTGGAGTAGATGAACGAACGCTCAAGCGTGAAGGGGTCTGTGCTGCATCTTTACCTACTACCATGGTAATGATTTTACTCCATCTTCCAAGCTCTTTTGACTTCTATCTACCTCTTTCTCAGTATGGGGGTTGACTTTTAAATATGGCAAAGATTTTTGTTTCTCGATACAAATGTTCTCATGGATTGTAGATGCAGATTTGCAATGGAAATTTGACGTGCTTATTCTGCAACATTGCTTTTGTCATCCATAATTTATTCTTTGATGCCTTTAGTACTTGAGCAATTTGTTACCTTTCCAATTTTATTCTACTTTCTTCATACATGTCGAGACAGTAAATTTGATTTTTAAGTAGTTGATTGTGCTGCCAATGGACCATGTAAATTTGTCATTTATCCATTTCCTCTGCTGCCATTTTGACACCTGGTGACTTGAATTGGTTTGTAGGGGGTTGTTGCTGGGCTTTTAGTTCAGAACACACTCAAGTATTTGCTGAAGTTTGGATATGTATCCCCATACTTGGTAAATACTGTGCTAACTCACTCACTCTGTCTCTCTCTCTCTACCATTAAATTGTAACACAGTATTTGGAAAATTGAACTGCTTAACATATTTGTAACAAAACGTTCAATTTATTGAATCTTCTCCATCAATTCATTCTGTTTTGCTGTTAAAAAGGAGTTTTGCTAAATACTTGCATTTATTTGGGCCTCTGGCTTAGTTTATAAATTGGAACAACCGGTGTGTGTTCTAATTTGACATTTATATGTAAGAAATCAATAGTTGCGTGCCAATTATCATGATTTAATCTTTGAGATAAGTTTTGGCTTTATTGCTTGATCCCAGGGATATAATGCTCTTAAAGACTACTTTCCAACTATGGAAATGAAGCCAAACCCTCAATGTTCAAATGCAGCTTGTCTAGAACGACAGGTAACATGATTTGATCATACACCTTTTTTGTGGTTATTTTGTTGTCTAATTGTCAGACCCTTATGTACTTTGTAGAACGAATATATTCTTGCAAAGCCAGCTCGGGATGCTGCAGCTAAAGCAAAGAAGGAAGAAGCATCAGAACCAGAGTGCCCAATTCATGATGATAATGAATGGAACATAAGGTGACTTTCTTGGAGAAGTATGTTTGGTTTTTATTTTAGTAACTTAACCTTGAGATTTGGGAAAATATAAGAGAGAGAGAGAGAGACTGCTTTTTATATAAGAATCAATTAGTGAGGCAGTCTCCATTGGATTTTAGACGCTTCTCATTTTGTCTTCTTATTTCCGTCTCAACTAGATGATTCTAAAAATTAAAAAATTTTGAGTAAATTTTGAAAAAGTTCACTAAAAGACAAAATTAAGTCAAATTTATTTTTAATAAATACAAAAATTGGCTTATTTTTTGTCTTTTCTATACTTCAAAAAAAAAAAATTAAATAAAATTTTAGGATCATCTAATTGAGACGGATCTGAAAGTAAATAAATTTGACATAATTTTAAAAATTTCACTGAAAATAAGCCTAACCAATAAAGTGCACTCCCAAAAGATAGAATTCTTCGTTGCCTGCCTCATGATTCAATAATTACTTTTTTTCTTTGTAAATGCTTAAACTGGCGAGTATATTACCTTCTCTTTTTGGTTGTGTTTTCAGTGTTCTTGATGATAGTGAGGTGCTTACTACAGATGTCAAAAGCTCAGGTGATCTTTCTCATTTATGTTTTAGCACACATTTTCTTTAAATGAAGAAGATGAGAAAACTATACGAACAAAAAACTGAATAAAAATGCAGATAAATATTATAAAATATCAACATTTTGCTTATTGAGAACAGTAGGAAGCAAAGGAGAAGGATGGATTTGTATTTTGGGCGACATATATTTTGTTTTGAATTCTACTTTAGTCTCTTTAGTTTTGCATGTGATTTTTTTCTATTCAAAATGTTTACAACACATGACGGAGGGATCACATTGCAACAAAATTGAGACCAAAATGTTCAAATTGAAACTACATTGACTAAAGGGAAATTTCGCTCAAACTAGAAGGGCCAGTGGTGTAATTTACTATTGAATTTTTTAGAAAAAGTATCCATCATTAACTCTGTTGTAGTTCTATCTATTAAAAAATAAAAAATAAATAAAAAAAGCTGTTTTAGTTTAGCATGTTTTATCATCTATTACTTTTTGTATTTTTACAGAAGTCATTGTTTATGATATTTACAATAATAATGGAAGTTTAAAACCATTTAAACCCCAAATGTTTGCAAAATGTCAATTTGTCATTTTCCTTCTCTTCTTCTTAGCAACCAATGGAGCATGTGTTTTTGTTTCAGATGCACTTCCTGAAGGTCTCGTTCGTGAGCTTCCAAGTGCAGATGAGTTTCAGAAAGCATCTGCTCATCAAGACACGACTAACTCCATGGATGATCTGGAAGATCTACGAAAACAGTTGGATGCCCTTAATGCTGACTAACCCCATCCTACACTTGTTGAAATGCAAGCCACTGCAAATTACAGATTGTTTTTCTTTGGAGTTTTGTTTTTATTTTTCCTAGTTTACAAAGAATATCATGAGCAAGTTAAAAATGTCTTCTTGTTTAATCATGATCAGTAACATCTAACCCTATGTTGTACTAACATTATTTGGTTTTTTTTTTTTTTTTTTAAGACGTTGAAATATCAGTTCATATAGATGAATTATCGATTTATTTTATCTTATTTGCAATATCACCAGATCATCTCCTATTTTTTTTTTTTTTTTAACACTTTTCAGACTGAAATTCTGATATTGTAGTATGTTGCAACACATCGCACTGTTTAGTCTTATAAATCAATTTACTTATTTTATTCATTAAAGAAATCTGTATTTAATTTGACTATTAAAAATGAAATTTTATATTTTTTTTAATTATAATTATAACTTTTGAGAGTATTGTGAATTTTTGCACAATAAAAAATCAAGGAGAAATTGTAAAAAATAAATAAATAAATCTTTTCAACTTTTGTAACAAAATAAGATTTGGATTTTTAATTTTTTTAAATTTAAATCGTAATATTTTAATTTATTTTTAATATAAATTATCTATCTATTTATGTTAAATAAGATTGATAAAAAAAAATTATCATTAAATTTAACCAAAAAAAATATTCTAAACATTTTATAATACATTGAATTTAATGATTGAAATATTATTTCTATCAATTTTATTTAATGAAAATAAATAAATAATTTAAATTGATAAAATATAAAATTTATTTAATTAATAAGTCAATTATTGTATAAAAAAAATTATAATTTCATCAAAAACGTATATAACAACTTATTTAACAAAGGATAATTCTATTTACACAATACTAATTAAGTCATAAACTAACATTTTCAATATTCGAATCAACCTTTTCAATATTTATATCAAAACCAACCATTTTAGTGTCATTTATAGTGTGCAAATCTTTAAAATTTAATTAATTTCATGTGTTTAGTTTAAATTTTTTGAATTAAGTTTTTTAAAAACTAAATTTTTTAGTTTTCTTGTTTTTTTTTTTGTTTTTAATGAATATTTTTAAAATTTTGAACGTTTTTTTAGTTTTTTTAAATGCATCTTATTTAGATATATCTAAAAAATAAAAAATTTGTAAAAAAATATTTTAAAAAATTAATAAATACATAAAAATACAAAAAAATGTATTGAATTCTCATATTTTTTTTATATTTAGTGAATTTTTACAAGATTTTTTTCACAAATTTTACTTTTAAAATATATTTATGTTAAGTATGTCTAAAAGTTAAAAAAATTACTTAAAATATTTAAAAAATTCAATAAAAATAAAAAAATACAAAAAATAAGAAAATAAAAATTTTTAAAAAGTGTTTTTGAAAAACTCTAACTAAGCAATAATATTTTGAATTTAGAAAATAAATATAATAGAGAAGAGAATAAAGTGAACTAATTAATAATGAATGATATTATAAATGTAGTGTTAATGGTGAAAATGATAAAAAAATACAATATTTATATGTTTAAATCCTCAACCCTATAGATGATAATGGTGTGAAAAATATTTTGTATTTTAAATATAAAATCTTTAAATGAGTAAAATACACCCCATATTGTCCTTAATGATGTTTTCATTGAGAATATTATTAAACTATAAATTTAATCTATTAATGATGTGTGTTAAGAGGATTAATAGTGTGTAAATAAAATCAACAAAAACAAGCTCGATTTTTTCAAAGAATATCAAAAACTGCACCGAACAGATTCACCTTATTTTAACGAGTCTTCCAAACTAGAAATACCTTATTTTAAAGTCTTTTAAACTAATAATAATTTAAAAACTTAATCGTAACTTATAAGTAATACCAAATAGGCTACCATGCAGTCATATCATAAGCTGAGGGGTCAAATGAACATATCTTCAAGTCCAACTTTGACCACTGAATACATAGGGTGCCTGAGTTCAAATTTTCCGTGCTGCCAAACACCATTATACGCTTCAAGGTTAGCCGTGATGATGATCAACAAGTTTAATGTCTTTGCTTTGTCCCTTCTAGTGCCTGTCAGAAACACCGCTGTAGAATTAATCTCACTTCATGCAGACACAAGTTGCGAGAACATTCTGCTACAAACACATAATTAAATTCAAAATCTGATTGGTTCCAAGGGCTCTTATGGATTTCATTGATCAATTAACAAGATTAAGCATACCTTGCAACTTCTTAGGGTAGGGTTGTGTTGTGAGAAAACCTCTAGGGCTCCTCAAATTCAATCAAAATCCTGTCCATCTGTGGTTGATGCTTTCTGACCTGAAGCAAAAATTACAAAATCATCTCAAACACTGAACTAAAAATGTCAAATCCAATGATATTTCAAGCATTTGGAGTGGACACACTCAAATTAACCTAATAAGTTGGAGGATCTTCAAACCCCGGGCCAACAACAAAAAAACAAATAGATAAGCACATTTCCCGCTTTTCGTGTGCCGCGCTGCATCAAAGGATGTTGTCTGGACTATGATAGGAAACAAGATGAAACCTACCTATGAAATACAGATACTTTACAAAAAGGGAGACACATATCCATATCGGATACCGATACTTCTTGAATACTTGTAAATATGTATTGAATACTTAGGCCAAGTTTGGCTACTCCAATATAATCCATCTTTTTATTTTTTTCCCATCACATCATCTTTTTACTTTTCTGCACATCTTTTCGTAAAAAGACAAAAAGTACACTTATTTAGGTCATCCAAACAACCCCTTAATTTTGAAGTATCAGATACTTGAAATCATATATTACTTATAATATTTTGTCTAGTTCTTTGATAAGAGGAATATAGTGAGTTAAAATAATAGAATTTGTCAAATTGATGTATCCTTATTGTATCTCTCACTCCTCCCTCGCTCTCTCACTCTCTCACGTATCTTTTCTCTGCTCTCGTTCTTTTTTTGGTGTTAACATATAAGGATGATGTTTAATTTACTTTTGCTTTTGCTTTTAGTTTTGGATGTTTTATGAATGGAGACTCTCAACTTAATAGGAATTCCTCTCTTTATTTATTAATTTCCTTTAGGTTTTATTTTCATGCCTATTATATTATTAAAATTATAAAAAAATTAATTAATTAATTTTTTTTTTACAAACATATCACCGCCGCACCGTACCCGTATCCTACTTTTTCAAATTTTGGTGTATTGTTGTATCCGTATCCCCATATCGTTGTATCCCCCCGTATCTGTACTTAGAAATCTACTCAACAAAATCTTTAATTTACTAGTCAGAATTGCCTAAGAACCGGGCACCAACTAAAACTAAATTTTAGGCAACATTGAACACTCGATGCATTTTTAAGCCAGCTTGAGAAAATTCAAAAGCGCATGAGATAGCTTATCATAAATCAATGAAAGATTTGGTGATCGAGAGAAAAATTTCACCCATAAGCAAAACTTACTTTTACACCCGCCATTGATAGAAGTTTGTGAGAAGCAACATAGGCAGTGTCTGAATTGTTTAACCTCTTCTCCACAAAATAGATAACTTCAGAAACCCCAGACTGCAATAAAAAAAGAAATTCAGACCTTGACATGGCAATCAATCACAAAATGGATAAAAGGAGACAAAAGGGCAAAGGAGTCGAGAGTTGGGTACAAAATTAAAACTACACAGATTTCATTGAGAAGACCAATAGAGACATGCCACAGAGGGTTGAAAATGGGGAAAAGTACTGGCATGTCCCTCGACAAATCAAAATTAAACAGAAATATTTGTTCAAGAAATCTCAATTTGCTAGGACATTTTCTAATTTAGAAGTTCTAGAATTACTTCCAGACATTTATGTAGGAAATGCCACTTTTTATAAGATTGCTTTTTCTCAATGTCTTCGTTCTGTTCTCTTAGGCTGTGTTTAGATAATGGATTTGGGTGGAAATTTGGGAAGGAAAAAGATTGGTAAAATGTGAATGAAATATGTGTTAAGATCATGGACACCCAAAAAGTTAAACAAGAAGCAATCACACACAACTGAGACACCAATAGTTACGTGTTTCGGCCCAATGCCTATGTCTACAGACAGAAACGAGAATTTCACTAAAACAGAGCAAATACAAATCAGAGGAAAACTACTCTCGCTCAGCTCACAGCTCTCTGTCTCTCAAATTTCTAATACAATTCACCCTCTCCCTCTTGTCTATATTTATACACAAAGAGAGTGAGGAAGAGAAAGGCAAACCCACCAAAATTTCTACCTTCTTGATGATGAGAGTCAACAATGGCAAGAACGTAAAGAGAAGGGAGAGTCTTGCAAATGCCCAGCTCAAACTTTCACTTGCTGTGGAAGTCCTCGTACGCCATCCTCCTTGACTCTTTGCTTGCATGCATGGGGTTGGAGCCAACAATTATCCCCCTCCATACCCACATGCATAACTAACTTCTCACTTGAAGTCCATCCCTGCAATGTCTCTGCAAATTTCAAGTTTGTCTCTCGAGACCAACTTTGTAAGTATGTCAACTGGATTCTTATTTGTATGGATCTTGATCAGTTCCAATAACTACTTTTCCATCACTTCGCGTATCCAATGATACCGAACATCAATGTGCTTCGTGCGATAATGGTACATAGAATTCTTGCTCAAGTCTATGGCACTCTGACTATCACAATGTACCATGAATTTTTCTTGCTTTAGTCCAAGTTCTTAGAGAAACCGCTTCAACCACTACATCTCTTTCCCAGCTTCCACTACAACAGTATACTCTGCTTCGATTGTGGATAAAGCAACACACTTCTGCAGCTTGGACTAGCAAGGCGCAACTCCCCCTACAAAAGTGAATAGAAATCCCGATGTAGATGTTCTATCATTAAGATCTCCTGCCATATCTGAATCCTAATAGCCTTCCAAGACTGGTTTAGCATCTCTAAAGCACAAACACATTTTAGATGTACCCTTGAGGTACCTCAAAATCCACTTGACTGTTTCCCAATGCTTCTTCCCTGGATTGGAAAGAAATCTACTTACAACTCCAACAGCATAAGCAATATCTGGTCAATTGGACACCATTGCATACATTAAACTCCCTATAGCAGATGAGTAGGGAATTGCCTCCATCTCTTCTCTTTCTTTAGTAGAGGAGAGACAAGAACTCTTGCTCAGCTTGAAATGATTAGCCAGCGAAATATTGATTGGCTTGGCATCTTTCATGTTGAACTTCTCAATCACCCGTTCAACGTACTTCTCCTGTGACAACCACAACTTCTTGGCTTCCCTATCACGCATAATTTTCATGCCCAAAACTTGTTGTGTAGGGCCTAGGTCTTTCATGTCAAAGGACTGTGATAATTCATTTTTCAGTGATCTGATGGCTGTTGTATCCTGTCCAACAATCAACATGTCATCAACATAGAGCAGGAGTATGATGAAGTTTCCACCGGGAAATTTCCTGACATATATACACTGGTCTGCAACGGTTCTCTAGTCTGCAGACTCTTCTTCAATGTGCAGACTAAATTTGCTTTCCCTTTTACTTCAAAACCTTCTGACTGCTCCATGTAAATTTCTTCATTCATATCACCATGGAGAAATGTCATATTCACATCCATCTGTTCAAGTTCCAAATTCAAACTGGCCACTAGTCCCAAAACTACTCAAATGGATGTCACTTTCACAACTGGCAAAAAGATTTCATCAAAATTAATACCTTTCTTCTGCCCAAAACCTTTGACAACCAATCAAGCCTTATACTTGACTAGTTTTTCCCTGCCATCTTTCTTCAACTTGAACACCCATTTGTTCTTCAATGCTTTTCGACCCTGGGAAAGTTTTGCCAAATCATAAGTTTGATTTTTCTGCAATGACTGCATGTCTTCTTGCATATCTTGCTACCAACTATTCTTCTCCTTATGATTCTGAGCTTCTTGAAAACTTTCTGACTCCCCCTCATCAGTAAGCAAAATATACTCCGAAGTAGGGTATTTTGATGGCTTAGGCTCTCTTGTTGATTTTTGTAACTGTGGACAATAGTCTCTGGAGGAGGAGGTTGTGGTTCCCCCTGCTCAACGCCATCTTTTTCTAGATCTTCTTCTTCTGGAAATTCATCCTGGAACTCTACATCATTGGCTGCATGCTACAATAGCTCTTCTTCATCAGTGGCATGTTGTGATGGTGCAGGATTGGGAATAATTTTTAAAACATCAACTTTGGGTTTGACTGGTTGCCCAAAGTCTTCTAAAGTCTGGCCTTCTTGAAATACCACATCTCGACTTGAAATGACCTTGTTTTTCGGATCCCATAATCTGTATCCAAATTCTTCATCTCCATAACTAATAAAGAAACATGGAGTGGCTTTATCATCCAGCTTCTGCCTGTGCTCCTTAGATACATGTGCAAATGCTTTGCACCTGAATACTCTCAAGTGAAAGTAAGAAATCTCTCTTCCAGACCATACTTCTTTTGAAATCTGAAAATTCAGTGGAATGGATGGCGATCTGTTGATCAAATAGCAAGCAACACGAACAACTTCTCTCCAAAATGGCTTTGGCAGCTTTGCCATTTGAGCATACATATAACCTTCTCCACAATGATCCGTTTTATTCTTTCGGCTACACGATTGTATTGTGGGGTTCCAAAAACAGTCTTCCCATGCTAAATGCCGCAAGTAGCACAGTAGGCTTCAAACTCCTTTGACGTGTACTCGCCTCCATTGTCTGTTTGGAGACACTTCAACTTCTTTCCAGTCTCCCTTTCCACCATAGCATGGAATGTTTGAAATGCTGGAATACCTCAACTTTAAACCCATACCTTCCGCGATGTGTCATCAATAAATGTCAAGAAGTATTTTCTACCACCCAAAGATTCCACTTCTATGGGACCACATACATCAGAGTATAATCTGCTTAACAACTCTAATTGTCTTCTGATAATGAGTGAAAAACAACTCTATGATGCTTCCCAAATAAGCAATTGTCACAAGGATTCAATTTTGTATCTTTGGCAAAGGGAATAAGAGACTTCTTTGCCAAAATCTGCAACCCTTTCACTCATGTGACCCAACCTTTTATGCCACAAATTTGGTGATGCCTTATTTTCTGCTGCGTTGAGACAATTTGAATTCACCTCCACATGAGTCTTGTATAGTGTGCCACTTGCCTGTCCTCTGGCTACCACCAGAGATCCCTTTTTCAGCTTCCATATACCTTTGCCGAAGCAGTTCTCATAGCCTTGTTGATCTAAGGCTATCCCTGAGATAAGATTCAGGCATAAATCGAAAACATGCCTAACATCTTTCAACACCATTGTGCACCCAACTTTGGTTTGGATGCAAACATCACCGATTCCCACAATCTTCGAAAAACTGGAGTTATCTATCATCACTGTACCAAAATCTCCAGCTTGGTACGTACTGAAAAACTCTTTTCGGGATGTAGCGTAGTAGGAAACTGCTGTCTCTACCACCCATTCGGTGTCATTGTCTAACATATGGAGGCATTCTTCTTCTCCAAAAGAGAATAATGCAATATCCTCCGAGACAGTAACTGTAGTGTTCCCATCTTTGGTCTTTGGCTGTCTAGTGCCTTGTTTTTGTTCTCCCTTCAAAACATAGCAATATTTCTTTATGTAACCCTCCTAGCCACAGTGGTAACACTTGAACTTCGACCAGCTTTTACAATCTCTGGACTTTTCTTTGTCTTGAGGTCTTCTTCCTCTACTTCTACCTTTGCCTCTTCCTCTACTTCTGCCTTTGCCTCTATCTCTATTTTCTGTAACGAGGGCATCGGACTGACCTCTACCCATGTCTTTCTTTCTCGTCTCTTCACCGAATAGAGCATCTGTAACCATGCTCATGGTCAGTTTTCTTTCTGGTGCAGAGTTGCAGAGGGACACCACCAATGTCTCCCAATTGTCTGGCAAAGAACTGAGCAGCAATAGGGCCTACATCTCATCATCTAACTCCATTTTGACAGTTGCCAGTTGGTTCACCAAATTTTAAAACTCACTGGTGTGTTTAGCAACAGAGATACCACCTTTCAACTTCAAATTTACAAGTCTTCTCATTAGGAGGGCTTTGCTCCAAGTAGTCTTCAACTGGTACATCCCTTCTAACTTCGTCTAGAGAGCATAGGCATCAGTCTCCTGGGCGACATGGTGAAAGACACTGTGATCAATCTATTGTTTGATCTGGCCAATGATTTTTTTATTCTTCCGTTTCTAGTGTTCGTCATTTTCCGTTGCTGGTTTAACTCCATTAAGCTCAATAAGGTCAAACAAATCTCGGTAGTAAAAACAAAAACTTCTTTCTAGGCTTCCAGATTGCATAGTTGGAGGGCAGCTTGATCATAGATCCCGAAGTCGATGTTGATTCCTCCATCAACACTTGCCTCTACAGAAAATGATCTCTGTGTGAAAATTAGGCTTCGTTGTTGAGTCCGGACTAGTCAAATTAGCCAGAAAAACACTTCAAATTGCCAAAATAAAAACTGCAAATTTTGGAAATCTGACCATACGAATGTGTTCGAAATATGTCAAATAGTTGAAAAGTACTATTAGATCATCAAAAATGAACTCATAATGGCTCAAATCAAGCCAAAACAAGTTGAACGATTTAGATTGGTGAAATCTAGTGCAGCTCAGCAGCACCAGATAATTTCTCCAGTTCAGCTGGTGTCAGGATGAAGTCAGTAACTTGGCGGCTAACGGCGCGGCTCGGTCAGCGGCTTGGTCAACAACGACTCGCTTGGTCAACAGTATCAATCAATGACGGCTTGGTCAATGGGTCAGAGCACGAGTCGAAGCTGGTTGGATTGATGACGTCAGTGCTAACGTCAGATCGCCTTCTTCACTGGGTTCGCGCGTAAAGCGCGTGTAGTCAGTCGCCAGTGTGTGAGAATGACGTCAATGGCGCATAAGGCGCGTGCGACCTCCTCCAACATCTTTTTTCAACACAGTTTTCACCTCTATGCTCATCTGGTTGAGACCTTCAAGCTAGTGTGATCAAAAGTGAATTTTGACCACTTTGAATTCTGGGTAATTTTTGAAAAACACACTCTATTTTCCCAAAAAACACTCAACCAACTCTGATATCACTTTGTTAGAATCATGGACACTCAGAAAGTTAAACAAGAAGCAACCACAAACAACTGAGACACCAATATTTATGTGGTTCGGCCCAATGCCTACGTCTACAAACAGAAACGAGAATTTCAAAAAAAACAGAGCAAATACAAATCAGAGGAGAAGAACTACTCTCACTCAACTCACAGCTCTCTGTCTCTCAAATTTTTAATACAATTCACCCTCTCCTTCCCGTCTCTATTTATACACAAAGAGGGTGAGGGAGAGGGAGGCAAACCCAAGAAAATTTCTACCTTCTTAATAGTGAGAGTCAACAATGGCAAGAACGTGAAGAGAAGGGAGTCTTGCAGATGCCCAACTCAGACTTTCACTTGCAGTGGAAGTCCTCGTATGCCATCCTCCTTGACTCTCTGCTTGCATGCATGGGATTGGAGCCAACAATATAGCTATATTTCATTCACCATTTCCCTTTCCAAATCCCTACTTAAATTCATGATCTAAACACAACCTTTGAGATCTCTTTCTAGGTCATAGCATCTCTACAACCTCAAGGCTGCTGAAATATTGCAGACATAAACCTTACTATGTCATCAAATCTCCATATGTACATCTCTAATGCAAGTGGGAATGAGTTGCATCAATTCTCGCTGCCCCCTCTCTGATGCAAGTGGGAATGAGATGCTTTATGTTTATAAACTCCTTGCCTATACAGGTGGCATTATCATTCAAGGTTTTCAATTGAAGATCAATATATATATATAGAGAGAGAGAGAGAGAGCAATTGTGAAATTTTCTCACAATAACAAAACTAAAAGCATAGTTTCCTTCCCGTAGTTGTGTGTGTATTGCACACACAGGTGTGCAGAATGTAACAAGGTTATTTTTGCATGATTACTGCACTGTAAAATGTGCTACAGCTCACAAGGAAGTGTGGATACTTCACCTGAATGATTATCTTGGCACATTCGTTGCACGGAAACATTGTGACATAAAGCCTCTGCATTGTTGTAGAGACAAAACATACTATTTAATAACATGTCAAATTAAGGATACATGAGCCATGTTGAAATAGCAAAGTCAGCTAAAAAGAAAGGCAAAAAATATTAACAAACATTCTTGGCTTTTTTGTTAGTGTTCCATTAAAAAAATTGAACATATTCGCAGACAAGCAAATACATGCAGAGGGAGAGAGAGAGAGAGAGAGTACACAACAAGATTGAAGTTAACCTGCCCTGAAGCCGATGCATGGTTCGTATTCAGGATAGCATTGACTTCCGCATGACAAACATAACTATAAGAAAATTCAAATGGAAAACATCAGCCCAGATTGAACAAAAATCATATAATTTAAGAATGAAAGAGTTCAGGTAAAGGTTTTAATGAGGCTTCAGCATAGGGGGAGCATTGCTTTGATCAAAACAATGAATAGCAGCAGAAACCATCATTGTTAGATCAAAAAATGAATTGCAAATCAAGATTGCGGTTCATGAAAAATGGTGTCACTTACGGATACTTAGTCTCCAAGGGATTACCAGTCCGGGATTCCTGAAATGTAAGGAATGAATGTGCTGTTAGTAAATCACTAAAGTGATGTAAGCAATCAATATTTTCAAATTTCAAACTGCCAACCTTTGACCAAGGAAGCTGGTCATCTGAACAACCACGGGGGAATCCATTGTAGCCGATGCCTGACTAGAGATAAATAAACTTAAATATCGCCAAAAAAAAATTACGTCATATAGGACTTGAATTTGATTGCGAACTTGAAACAAAATTCAAAACTCAATGACCATGAAAATCAAGATCAGAAATTTATACACAACAAAAATAATATTCCATGAGTTACTTGAAAGGTGAAAGTCATGAAGTATTTTAGTCAGGGAGATTCAAGTAGTTTAGATCTTAATTTGGCCACAAGAAGCGTGATAAGGAATTTAAGCATAGCCCAACCAATATTCAATAAGCTCCTTCAAAGGTGAAAAATGATTGTGCCAAATGGTCGACATCTATCACTGCATTGCTTAATATTGAGAAAACAAAAGTGGACAACATAAAGCTGCGATCAAGTTCCAAATACAATTTATGCTGTTTCAAAGAGAAACAAGCAATAGCAAAATACAATGGAGTAGAAGATATGACTAACACTTCATTGTCCACTATCAATGTTGAGAGCTGCAATCTACAATCTGGATTTTTTACAATCATTATGTCTGTAGTTTCTTTTATTATGTGTGGAACTAACAATCTCAAATAAGAGTATTAGAATTATGATTTTACAATCAAAAATTGGCACATGATAAATTCATTATTTCCAAATAAAGAGTACTAGAATCATCATTTTACAAACCAAATTGGCAAATAAAGAGTACTAGAATCTAGATTTAAAATCATTATTTCCTAGCACATGCAAAAGAGCAAGCCTTCTGAGTGAAAATACAGCAAATAATGAGAAGGGCAGTAGAGCAATAGAAAATAGGCACATGATACAGCAATCAGCTACTACTTTACCTTATAGAGACACTATCCAGAAAAGAAAACCATACAACAATGATCCTTTCGTAGAAAGAGGGAACTTCCTAAACCTTTTAATTGACAAACCACTCTCACCAAATGGATTCAAATCATCGTAAAATAGAGGTACTCCATCTCTAAAGGATCATCTTCTAACAAATTATAAATAATAAATAATGCTAAATTTCACACATGATTAAGTTCTTTGAGTTGTAGAAGCAAGGACTTGACCACCTAAGTCGACCAGCTGTATTTTCTCCGCCTCCTCTTCATGAGATAAGAACCATAAAATTATATAAAATGTTTTTCATTACTATAACCAAATACTTGGAAGTGAAAGTTCACCCGGTTGATCTTACCAAGTATTATACCATTTTGGCTCACTAGGCATGCACCAACCTGCAACACATGAAAAGGAAAGAAAAAAAAGTGCTTCGGTTTGAGCCAAGAAAACAAACCTTAATTAAATTCAAAACATGCAAATTTTGTAACAGGAAGAAGAAAAAGAGGCAAGAGTAAAAAAATTCAGGCTCCCAAAGAATTACAAATAATTGCAGCGGCAGAAATCACAAAGTAGAATTAGCATCATAATAAAGTTAAACATTTTAATTAGGGTAAATTACACTGACCTCCCCTGAGGTTTGAAGAAATACAATAAACCCCACATTTTTAACATGATTACACCAACCTTCCTCAAATTTTATAATCACATTACAGTTACATCCACACCACTGCTTCATCATTAGCCTTTATAAATAAGCATGTCAATGTCATTCATTTTTTCCTTCGTGTTTGTTAGTTTAATTCTCTAATTAATTTGGCAATCCTTTCCCCTTGTGTTTTTAACATGCTTTTTATTAGATGTTAACCACTGAAATTGCCACTTATACCTAAGTACTTGCCCAAGAAAAAGGACATGTGGAGTCCTATTTCTTGCACTAACCCAAACAAATAATCTACTTTTTTGTTTTACGTTTTGTCTTACAATCACGCACGCTATAGAAATTACATAAAATTTGACAAATACTAAAATACTAGATGCAACTAAGCACTACCCATTTGTCCTTGTGGCAACAAGATGCACTGTAAATCATCAAGGATCTGTTTGGATAATTGTGTATTTCAAATCAAGGGGTTTGAGGTTCAATACATAAAAAATAAATTAATTAATTAACAAAAAAAAAATGAAAGAAGATGAGTTGACAAAGAAGTTATATATATTTTAGTAAGATCCTTATAGTTAGAAAGAGAATCATTGGCATGATTTCAAGTAAATAATTTTATATGGTTATTTCAAATCCACCAAGATTATGCTATTTAACTCAATCTTGATATTCATAAGCAAACTACCGTATCTGAATTAGTTATTGTGCTTGAATGAGGAAGGTCAAATTCCTTGATTTGATCTACATCTATCTAAACGGACTCCAAATGTATACATCTTTTGCACAAAGTGAGATTGACCATCGTCTTCCCTAAACCAAAAAGTGCTTCCCAGAAAAGCATTAGTTTACCAATGCAAAAGGAAATCAGTACTGTATCAACAATACAAAAATCACATTGAAAATATGCTCAAGTCATCACTTGACAATAAAATTATCAAATATCACGATTTAACCTTTGTTGTTGCTACAGAGCATAAATTAAGTACATCTTCAATTTACGATGAAACAAGAGTGAATATGAAAACAAATTCATTGGGACAAAGATATATGTATGACCTGCCTGTGCGGATCCTTAGACCGCTCAGCAGATAAAAATGCAACTGCCATAAAATAGTCATCCCATGACAAATACCTGCTTTCATAAAAATTTGTAGATAATTAGTACTTTCTTTTTTTTTAACGGTAGATAATTATTACTTGGTTGCTGTGAAATTAAAGGGAATTGAAAGAATACCTCAAAATACATACAAACAACAAAACTATTTGCTTAATGTTGAAACTTTCATATGTGCTAACTAACAGATAGAAAAAGATAACTTCTAAATTTCTTCCTCATTTTCTCGGTAAGCAAACGGACCATCAAATGAAACGAAATTAATTTATTCAATTGGTTTTGAGGTTTTTCAATTTTTAGTTAAATTACTTTTAAAATGCATCTAATATAATCCAACCTGATACACTAAAATAAAATATTTTTGAATTTATTTTTATTTTTTCAAAATTTGTAAATATAAAAATAGACAAATTACATCAGTAATCTCTATATTTTAACTCTTATATCATTTTAATCACTACATTTTTATTTAGCTCAATTTTAATCCAAAATTAAAAAATATTATATCAGTTTAATCTAATCGATAGTATTTTTATGAAAAATGATCACTGAATTGATTAAAGTTAACTTTTATAAAACAAAATCTAGCAACTACAAGTTATTCGGTAGAATGAGATAAAATTATAAGTTCGCACAATAAAAATTATAGAGATTAAAATAACACAAAAATCAAAATAAAATCACTAGCAGCGTAATTTGCCTTATAATTTTTTTACTAAAAAAAATAGTATATTTTTTATTATTTTTGCACTTATTAAATTTTTCCACAAATATTTTACATTTGTTTTATTCAAAGAAATTAAAAAAAGATAAGAAAACACGAAAATTGAAAAAAGAAAAACAAAACAGAGTGGGTTCATGAGGGGATAAATAAACAGACCATTGGCGTTTGGTGGGATTGAAGGGGCAAGGAGACTCAATTTTCTTCCCGACTGCGACGGTGGAGAAGTGCTTTCGAGGGCTGAAGAAGAAACGGATGGCGATTGCTGAAGCTACGGCGCCGAAGAAACTCGCCGATGAGATCAAACCTACCTCTCTCCAATTCATTTGGAAAGAGAGAGAGAGAGAGAGAGAGAGTCTTCTGTTCTGTGTGTTTTGCCTTTGCCAAAAGTGCCACCGCGGGAAAAACAAAACAGAAGTGAAAAAAAGTAGCGGGAAATAAAGTTGGTGTGACGTGAGGGGCCACGAGTTTTATTTGTGGGGAGCAGCTTTCCTCTGTCCTTAAGGATTGGATTGTATTGATCGATCATGAAGTGTAATTATAGATTTTATTTTAATAATTTAAATTTTTTAATATGTAAAGTTTGTTGAGTATTATATATCTGTAAATAATTATGTTCATTGTTTATTGATATTTGAGCAATGTGATTTTTTACAAGTATATAATACTCAACGAGTTTTACACATTGAAATATTCGGATTATCAAAACGGGACCCGTAGTGAATCTCTATAGACCGAACAATACCATTCAATCTGATTAAAAACTGGAGGCAAGCTACTCTTTTTTTATCACATCATCCATTTTACAAAAATGTTATAAATTTTAGAAGTTATATTAAAATTTTAATTAGATGTGTCACATGGGTATAGAATTTTTATGGGATTCATATGATGTGAGTCTCACAATCATATAAAATATTTAGTAAAAATTTTGATAGAACTTTTGAAATCTCTAACCCCACTCTTCTTTTTATTTCTTCACATGTTATTTTTATAAAAATTTAAAATAATTAATTCCTAAATAAGCTCTTAAATAGTCTTATTTGGAATCTATTTGCTAACGTTTTTATTTATTACTTTTTGGATTTTTTATTTAATTGAAAATAAAAATCTATTTAGTATATTTTTTAAAGTTTTTAAAATTTAGTAGATGTTTGGCATCTCTTAAAAAAGTCAAAAAGTTATTAAAAAAGTAAAAAAGTTAACACTATAAAAAAGATGTTTGGATTGAAAAAAATATTGAACAAACAGAGGATACAATTACAAATTTGCCCTTTTGTATTCAATAAGAAAAAGTGCATGTCAATGTACCTATCTTTACACATTCTACCAAATGCACTAACGTGGCTAATTATAAGCCACGAATTCCCAAAGTCAACAAAGGGGTCTTTTGGGAAGTGGGTTATAATTCACTTTCCAGATTATTATTCACTTCCCTCTCTCACAAAAAACGAATTATAATTAGCTTTTAGCCAAAAAGTTAATTATAACCACCTTTCCAAAATAGTCCAAAATTGAATGCACTGAATAACACAGTATGTGTTAGGAATGGTACAAGAGTAATTTTGATATTTGATACAATATTTTATTACACTTTTTTTTGTAAAAAGTTAAAAAATTATATACATCTTTTTTACCTCTACTTTTTTAACCAAAAAGTCAAAAGGTGCTGTGGTAGCCGAATAATAGCAGACGCAGATAGGCAGGGTATATTTTCCCTGCCTGTGTATAGTATGCATTTGGCCCCTTCCCTAACGTTTCAGGTGCCGAATAGTCGATCAGAGGGCCAATTAAAAGTTGTAATACGGCATAATGGGGCCCGAGTGAATAAGTACATGACAAATCAAGAGCGGGCCCTACCTAGAAGACCAGGAGCGTATATAAATAGAAGAACAACAACCAAAGAGAGGTATGTGAGAACTAGCATGCTTAACTTAAGATACCAGCAATCAAGAGAGTATACACTAACTTATCCTTCGGAGTGCTAATTTCGGCACCTTCGACCGGAGTGTTCATTCCTTTTCAGGTGACCAGCTGAGGATCACGAGCGTCCCCCAAGATTTGAAGAGTATTTCCAAACCACTTCCCCACAATTGGCGCCGTCTGTGGGAATACTCAAATACATCCATGGCGGGCATAACGGAAAACCCTCCGATAGTCACTGACGAAACCACATAGAGAGACGACCTCACTCCAACAAACATGCTTGGACCGGAGACTATCGCCGCAAGACGCACCTTGAACTTCGGTTCATCCTCGACTTCAGCGCATGAGACAATGCAAACAATCATGGAACAAGCAAGTAAAACGAACAGAGGTTGGAGAACATGATCATAGAGAACGAACGTCTCCGTCAGGATCTGGCCTTGGAAGTGGCGAAATCCAAACAAACTATACGCCAAGATCCAGAATGACCTCTAAGGGCAAGTGGTCAACAACCTCGAACCCGACAACAAGACACTGATAGCGACTCTGACTCATTATCCCCAGAGCCCAAGAAGGAGGGATGACCTGAAACTACCAGTTCCTCTAAAGAGAGTCCACGTATAAGGCATAAGCAAAGAAGAAACAGTTCAGACGAAGAAGACCAGCACGATCCCTTTGTACGACGAATTGCAAGGGCAGTGCTACCCAAGAAATTCAAAGCACTGTCTTTTACCTTGTACGGCGGTAAATCAGACCCCACCGATCACATCTGCCATTACAAGCAAGCCATGATGCTGCATGCAGAAAACGAGGCTCTCATGTGCATAATATTTTCGAGCAGTTTGGGACCACTGGCTGTCAGGTAGTATTATAAACTGGAGCCGGCTTAGATCAAGAGCTTCTACCAACTCCAAAAATCCTTCAAGGCGAGGTTTATCACTAATGAGGTCCAGCCAAAGCAAGCCGATTCCCTCTGGGCAATGCAGATTCAACCGAGGAAAACTCTTCATATGTATTCGGCGCAGTATTGGGAGTGTTTTAATCTGGTAGATGATGCTTACAATGACTCCATAGCCATTACCGCCTTCAAGATGGGATTACATCCCGACAGTGCCCTTTGTAGCTCTTTTACCGGACGGCCCCCGAAAACAGTATGGTCGTTGATGAAGAAAGTTGAGGAATACTATAAAGTGGAAGATGACGCCTTGCGGGTTAAAGCCGGAAATGTGGCCAAAAAGACGGCTCATTCTGAAATTGCTCAGCCGTTAAATTTTGTACCACCTTAGAGCCCTGAACCACGGCATCCGGCTAAACAAGACAAGAGACGGGATTCTTGCCAATCAAGCGACCAATGCTCCCACCGAGCAAATGAACAATTGCAAGTCGATAGCAGGCACACAAGGCGCGCCGACAAGAAATATACAGAGTTGTCAGAGCCGATCAGCGTGGTTATGTCCAAAATCCAACACCTTCCGTTCTTCAAATGGGCGTCGAAAATGGTGGGACCTCCCGACACGCGAAGACGGGATAGGCGGTACGAGTATCACAAGGATCACAGCCATGATACTGAGAGTTGTTATGCATTGAAGGATCACCTGGAGGAATTGGTACAAGATGGACGGCTACAACAGTATGTTCGAAAAGGCAACTCAACCAAAGCAATAGCCTTAAGGCAGGATTCACCTCCACTCGGCGTGATCCACATGATATACAGCCTGCCAATGTCATCCGCGGTGTATGCGATTCAATCAAATCCCAACCCTCAAAATCAACTCACTCCGGCTAAACGGCCCCATGAAGCAACAAGCATTGCTTTTGATGATTCAAATTTGGCCGCGCGTGACCTTCCCCACATTGATTCCCTGGTAATCGAGTTACACGTAAGCCAATTCACCGTTGAGCGCGTACTCGTTGACCTAGGGAGCACATCAGAAGTTATGTATTACAAGACAGATCAGCGTGGTTATGTCCAAAATCCAACACCTTCCGTTCTTCAAATGGGCGTCGAAAATGGTGGGACCTCCCGACACGCGAAGACGGGATAGGCGGTACGAGTATCACAAGGATCACAGCCATGATACTGAGAGTTGTTATGCATTGAAGGATCACCTGGAGGAATTGGTACAAGATGGACGGCTACAACAGTATGTTCGAAAAGGCAACTCAACCAAAGCAATAGCCTTAAGGCAAGATTCACCTCCACTCGGCGTGATCCACATGATATACAGCCTGCCAATGTCATCCGCGGTGCATACGATTCAATCAAATCCCAACCCTCAAAATCAACTCACTCCGGCTAAACGGCCCCATGAAGCAACAAGCATTGCTTTTGATGATTCAGATTTGGCCGCGCGTGACACTTCCCCACATTGATTCCCTGGTAATCGAGTTACACGTAAGCCGATTCACCGTTGAGCGCGTACTCGTTGACCTAGGGAGCACATAAGAAGTTATGTATTACAAGACATTCACCAAACTCGGCTTCTCCGAATCGGGTCTTTCTCCAACTCCTTATCCACTATTCGGCTTCAACGCCAATCCAGAATACCCGTTGGGGAAAATCACACTACCCGTTCGAGCGAGCTCCCGAACAGTGGATGTGGAATTCTTAGTCGTCAAGCTGCCATCACCATATAATCTCATCATGGGGCAAACTTGGTTGCATACTATGCAGGTCGTGCCATGCATCTATCATCAACTGCTATGCTTCCCGATAGAACGCGGCATTGAGCAAATCCGTGGCTCCCAGAAATCGGCACAAGCAAGTTATCTCCTTGCTGAAAAGACCCCAAAGGAGTTACAAGTGAACTCTATTGAAGTGACGGATCGGGAGAGCCTCAACAATGTTAGGCGGCTCCCAAGTGAAAAGGCCACGGAAGCCCTAGATTGAGTTGAAATCAATAGAAACCCAGACAGGTTCTTCATGGTCGGCACCTCCCTGAATCAAGCCGACAGACAACAACTAATTTCCTTCCTGCTCGGCAACCTTGATGTATTTACGTAGACTCCATATGAGATGCCGGGTGTAGATCCGTCTGTTTCGCAGCACCGTTTAAATGTTGACCCTAAATGCAAGTCGATCATTCAGAAAAGCCAACGGTCTGTTGCAGAGCACACTGCCGCCGTTATTGAAGAGGTTGACAGGTTGCTTGACGCCGGAGCAATCAGGGAAGTGACCTACCCTATATGGCTCTCTAATACTGTGGTTGTGAAGAAGAAAAATGGGACTTGGCGAGTGTTCGTTGATTTCACGGACCTAAACAAAGCCTACCCCAAGGATTGTTTTTCCCTCCCCAGAATAGACCAACTTATAGATCCGACGGCACATCATCAGCGCATGAGCTTCCTCGGTGCTTACAGAGGCTACCATCAAATTGCCACGCATCCGGAGGACCAAGACAAAACTGCATTCCTCACCCCAAAGAGGAACCTATTGCTATAAGGTTATGCCTTTTAGGCTGAAGAATGC